ATGATGTCTGTCTAGTTAGCTTAGTTTGTTATATGTTAACCACATTGAGCTCTCAGAAGTCTTGATAAATGTGCCCACTGAGACTCATACTCTCGGTGAGTCCTGAGCGTGTATGAACGAGGGTGTATGTACATGGTGATGCGTAGATTTGTCAAATAAATCTTGATGATTGATAGTCTTTGATGATAAAAATGTCAAATCAATATATTCTTCTTCTGGTAATAACAGTTGTAAATTCTATTTAGTTAAATAATCGTTTACAATAATTTTCTAATCTTCGAAACTGTTTTCCAAATGATGAAATTCTTGTAACATAGGATGATTCGTTATCTGGATAAAACAACTTTACCGCTTTTTCTAAAGATTGTTTAACCTGCTTGCTTGTAATTTTTTTTGAAATGATATACAAAAATTTGTTTTGTATTTATATACTTTTTTGTTAATCTGTATGACCGCATATTAAAACCTTATAAGGAAATAAAAAAAAAGTTTTTTTTTATAATAATACTGTTTTTTTTTTAAATTTAAAAATAGAAAAAAAAAATATAGGTTTTTTTAAAAAAAAAAGTTTATTCATCATCATCTTAATCGTCTTTAATTTCGTCTTGTTTTGATTTTTATATTCTTTAGTTTCTTGTGCAGCTAAATCTTGTGCAGCTCTTTTCATATTTTGATTAAAAGATCTTGTTTGTCCGTTTTAGGTAAAGTGTTAATCATAACAGGTTCTACAGAAGTTTGTCTATCGTATTCTGTATAATAAATTTCTTCGTCCTCTTTTAACATTCGTACATTAAAAGTAGTAATAGGTTGAGATTTTAATACTTTGTGTTTGCTGTAAGCATAATTATATCCACTGTTTTGTATTTGTTCTTCCTTTTTTAACATGGATTCTAACATCCCCTTCTCCAGTTTTGTTTTTGAAATGGGTATCATCTTTGTTTAACTTCATTTCTGCTCTTTACAAATAATTACATGCATCTTCTGCAGAGGAACATTGTTTTCGAATAGATGCTGGTAACAATATAACCTCTTCTTTGGTTTTGTTTGAATAAATCAATTCTTTTTAAAAAGAATTAAATTGTGCTACAGGTTTCACGGGCACTTTAGAATATTGATTTACTTTTAAATCTTTTTCGTTTGCCAAATCAATATGCTACAGTGTAGCAGCTGCCATATCATTATATTTTAAATAATTTTGCATAAGATTGCAATAATTGACTTGAATTTCGTTTTCCATTATTTTTGTTGTCATGTTTTTTTTTTAACTGTTGTTTAAAAAGTTGTCGAATGATAAAAATATAAATTTTCGTTTGTTTATATATCATTTTTAAACAATAGAGATTAAAAAAAACAAGATCAAAACAAGTTTATATAAAAAATTGTCAACGTGTCATTTTAATCTTTTATGATATCACATTTTACTTTATAAGGTAATATAAAAGAAAGAATGTTAATTAATGTTACTAAATATAGAATTTTATTGTGTTATTTTTGTATAAAAGGAACAAGTTTTTTCAGAAATGATCATTCAAAGCATCTCCAAGATGAGTTTGGAAAGATTTAATACTCTAAATGCAATTGTGCATGAAGATTATGTAAAATCATATACAACGATGACCAAATTAAAAGAAGAATGTCTAGATTTAATTAAAAAGGAAAATTACCTTACTCAAGAAATAATAGATTTATTTGGAATTATTGAGGAAGAGAGAAAACTTTGTTGTATAGAGCCAAATAAAGAGTTGTTTCAATATTTTAAAATATTAAAATTTTTATGGAAAAACCTTGAATCAAAAGAGTCGATTTCAAAAGAAGAAGAAATGAAGTATTTACTATTAACGGAAACAGAAATGAAAAAATTGGATAAAGACGAATTTTATTACTTACGTGTCAAAAATGTCAAAAGTTAAATCGATGTTTACACGATTGTTTTTGGTGTGAGTAAAGAATGTGTTATTTATGTTTGTTAGATCATTCACTGCAAACAAACTGCAAATATTTAATTGTATTAGTTATTTTTGTAATATAATAGTTAATTTGTAACATAATAGTTAATTTTTTTAATTTTTTTTTAGATTAGTTAAAAAAAAATTTCAGATGATTATGATTATAGCGAATGGTCTGCATCAGATTTAGTTGATTATTGTGATGATTGGCAGATGAAATGTTTTAAATTATTAATTGAAAAAATGTTTGGAGATATGATGGAACGATATCTTAAATTTAACTATGTATACACAAGGATTACTTTAATGGAAATGAAAAACAATGCTCTGTCTTTTAGTTTATGTAGAATTAATCAAAGTACAAACAAAACAAAATTAGACAAACATTGGTTTGATTTTTGAAAAAAAAAGCAGAAATGGATACCAACGTATGCTACAATTATTATTTTGGACACTATAAAAGAAAAATTACCTGCATATTATGATGTACAGTTTATTGAATTTTTTATTTATTGGCATTGTGAATTATTTAGTTATTGTTTAGATTGGATAGATAATGCAAATAAAAAAATTGAAGAAAAACAAAATAAATGGTTAGCTAAGAAGAATGGTATATATTTAAATGAAAAATAATTTTTTTTAATATTAACATTTTTTGTAATTTTTTTTTTTTAATTTGTTAAAAAAAAAATGAACAAAGCAAAAGATGAATTACAAGAAGCTTTGGATAATTTAACAAACTTGACATTACTTAAAATAAGAACAAATAATTACAAAACAAATGATTCTTGTAATATAATGAATATAGATCAAGACGGTATTAAAATTGAAAGAGCTATCAAAAAAATTAAAGATATGAGTGTTGTTAAAGAAGATTTGCAAAAAGAGTTATTAGACACTCGTGATTATCTAAATTTATGTAAAACTATGAACGTTACGCTTCAAAATAAACTATTTGATTATGAACGGATGTTGCAAAATTGTGACCAATTTTTAAAATGTTATTATTGTCAAATTTATTATTTAGAAAGTGATGTTTATTATTACCCTAACGATTTTTTTCATTGTTATTGTCCATCATGTAAATTATTATACGGTTGTTAATAAAATTATTTTTTTTTCAGATTAAAACAGTAAAAATAATAGATTGTAAAGGATGGTCGTTGTATGCTACCAAAAGAAGTGCTACTTTTGATTTACGTAGGACTGAAAAAAAAATATTAGTACGTATCGACGTATGTTATTTTCTACTGGTGTTTTTATATAACAAATGGAACGTGATTTTCAAGGTCAAACTACTTCCAAGTCAGGTTTAGCTTTACATATCATGGTATTACAGTATTGAATTCACCTAGAATTGTCGATTCTGATTAAAGAGACGAAATCCATGTTATACTTTACAATACGTCTATCGAAGCTTTTACTGTAACCGTAGGTCAAGCTATTACACAAATGACTTTTGTACCTGTTTTTTTTGCAGAAAGAATTTCATGGACTTTATACAAAAATAATAATAGTCAATTGGAAATACAATCCATGTTCTCTGATGAAGAAAGAACGGGAGGTTTTGGTTCGGTGAACGCAATTTCTTAAAAGATGTGGAAAATGTAAAACTGATTTAGGACAATAATTGTAAATATATTTTGTTTAATTGCGAACATAGTCAAAGTATCAATGTAAAATTGAAAGCAATAATAACGAAACTGATTTGTGTTACCAACGTCAAGACGCAAGTGATAACCAAATAAAAATTGAGAAATCCAATTTAAAAGAAGAAATAAAAGAAGAATTAAGAAATTTAGATTGCAGAGTAAGTATTCTCGAAGAACCATCTGGTTTACCTGACGGACAAAAAATCTTTGTTATCAAAAATATAGTGAGACGAATGATTCTTCATAAAAATAATTCGGATGCTGCCTATTATTCTGTACCGTTTTTTTATAAAAATTATAGAATGGCAATGAGAATTAATTTTAATGCTGATATCAATTGAAGCGACGAATCACTTCAGCCTGGCGGTGATTATATCGCATTATTTAGTGTTTTAATGTCTAATGTTTATGATGCCATTTTAAAATAGCCGTTAACCCTTTAGCGCCCACAGTAGCCATATGGCTACCAGTGGTTTTACTGGCTGTATATACTCAGTCTACTATATTGTTTATTAAGAAGTATGTTAATTTAGTAAGTTTGACCACTAAAATATTAAAAATCGTTAATCAATATTCAATGGCGGCATTTCTTTGCTTTATAATCAAATATTTACTAAAGGGTTATTTTCCTTCTTAAAAGTGACTAACTTTTGAATTAAAAAAAAGGGGATATATATAAATGTTTTGATCATCTTGTTTGACTGATAATGTAAACAAAAGATTGGACTTTATGGGGAAACAAAGAAAATGCTAAAAAATGTTTTAACATATATAATAAAAAAAGTTATATTTTTATAGTATCCATACGGCTACTACGGGCAAAATGTGTTAAAATAATATTACATTAAAATATATATATATATATATATATGTATAGTGTATATATATAAATATATATATATATATATATATATATATATATATATATATATATATATATATATATATATGTATAGTGTATATATATACACATATATATATATATATATGTGTATATATATATGTATATATATATATATATATGTGTATATACATATATATATATATATATATATATATATATATATATATATATATATATATAGAGAGAGAGAGAGAGAGAGAGAGAGAGAGAGAGAGATAATACGTGTTTATGCACAGACATGTATATTTATGTATGTGTATATTTATTATATATATAAGCAACTTTTTTTACGATTTAATTTTTCATTATAGTGTAAGTAAAAATAAAAATATGCCCAAGAAAAATTCATTCACGACTGAAGAAGTTCTTGATTTTGTTTTAAATCCAGGGTCATGTTCTGAACTTTCAGATTTTGAAGATAGTGAAAGCGATGATGAAATAGAATTTGAAGTACCATTAAGAATTGATGATAGCGTGAAGGAAGATAAAAGTTAAATTATGAAAGAAATTTCTGAAGTTCAAAATGAAACAGAGACTTTTGAAGATGATGATTATACAAAAGTTACTGACCTTTCAAAATATGTCAGCCATAAATATAGATGGCGTTCATCCCAACAGCTTATTAATAATATAGAATTTTGTGGTAAAGGATTTTGTCTTCCACAATGTAATGCAGACACCTTAACACCACTCAACTATTTTCAAATGTTTTGGAAAAATGAACTGAATGAGTTTATTGCCGAACAAACAAATTTGTATAGTGTTCAAAAAAAACTAAAGTCAATAGTTACTACTTCAGGAGAAATTGAGCAGTTACTTGGTATACAGATGCTTATGTCTATTGTAAAGTTGCCAAGTTGCCGGATGTATTGGGCAGCTGAAACAAAATACCCTCAAATAGCTGAAGTTATGTCACGAAACCGATATGTGTGCTTGAGAGAATGCCTACATCTAAACGATAATTCAAAAAAGGATGAAATAAAAAACAAAAACAATAAACTGTTCAAAATACAACCAGTTTTAGATCATGTTAGAAATAACTGCATAATGATAGAACCTGAAATCGAGCATTCCATTGATGAGCAAATTATACCAGCTAAAACAAAATACAGTGGCATTAAACAGTATAACCCAAAAAAGCCAGTTAAATGGGGTTTCAAAAATTTTGTTCGAGCAGGGAAATCTGGCATAATATATGACTTTTTTTTGTACTCAGGTTCGTCCAACAGTGGTAAAAAATGTACTGGTGCATATGTAGTATTAAAGTTGCTAGAGAAATTACCAAAAAATCAGAATTTTAAAGTCTTTTTTGACAATTGGTTTTGTTCAATGCAGTTATGTCTTGCACTCAAAGAATTAGGATTTGTAGTAACTGCAACTATACGATCTGACCGGATAAAAGGATGTCAATTAGCGACAGAAAAGGAATTACAAAAACAGGGGAGAGGAAGCCAAGTTTTTAAAACAGATGCTAATTCTAGATTAATTTTAACACGATGGTATGACAACAAGTGCGTTAATTTGATTTCAACTTACTGTGATCCTTTATTAGTTACCAAAACAAAGAGATGGGATCGGAAATACAAAACGTATATAGATATTGATTGCCCAAGTGTAGTACAAGAGTATAATAAATCGATGGGTGGAGTAGATTTGGCTGATATGTTGATTTCTTTATATAGAACAACTATAAAAACAAAAAGATGGTATTTAAAAGTATTCTTTCACTGTCTTGATATTGCAAAAGTCAATGGGTGGCTTTTTTATCGACGTCACTGTGATCAACTTAAGGTGCCGAAAAAATCTCAAATGAGTTTGTTAAAGTTTACTTCAGATGTTGCTTCTGGTTTAATTAATTCTTGAAAAATACAAAGCAAAGTAGGACGGCCGTCAAAAAGGAAATCAGATGACGCATCGTTTTCTATAACAACAAAAAAGCAACCAATCAATATTCCAGCAAATGACTCAAGATATGACAATATAAGTCATTGGCCAGAATTCAGAGAGAAAAAAAATAAATGTCGTTTTTGCAAAACTGGACAAGGAAGAGTATATTGCAAAAAATGTAATTTGTGTCTTTGCATGAGCAATACAAGAAACTGTTTTTTTGATTTTCATTGTAAAATTAAAAAATATATTTGATCTCTAGAGCTCAGTTTAATATTTTAAAATGGTTTGATGAAAGGAAGAAAAACAAAACATTTAAGAGTCATTTGGGATGATAAAAACTCCCATATTTATATGACAGTTTTTTAATTTTAATTTAATAAATTTTCTAAAATTACATCCCTTAATGCCCGTAGTATCCATATGGCTACCACCCCTATCTCGAAAACTGCTTATGTCAGCTAAAAAAACTTTTTAAAATAACCATTAGAGACAATAATTAGTCCATTATCCAATGGGATATATTTTTCACTACAAGATTTTAAAAGGTGGGCTTTAAAGGGTTAAGCAGTAAAAAAGTAACTTTCATTATTGGAAAAAGATAAATATAAAAAATCGTTTATAACCAATGACAGCATTCCTTTTCAAAGACTCGATAAAGATAAAATGAGTGCTGGTTTCGGATTTGGAAGATTTTTAAAAAAAACTGATCTTTTAAATTATATTGTAGAAGATTCTCTTTTTATTAAATGTAAAATTAATTAATTTTTTTCATTAAAATGTACTTTTTTAAATATATTTGTAACTTTTTTTAGGTAACTAATTAAAAATGTATATTATATATAACATATATAATATATATAAAAATGTATAATATGTTATCCTTATTAAAAGATAAACATAAAGAGTTGGGCGAGGAATGTGAAAAGTTGGTTGAACTTTTAAAAGATGAACAAAAAGAGTATACAATCGAAGAAATAAAAAAATTAAAATCTTCCGTTTATAATAATTTGATAAAAAATAAAGATGATTATAAATACGATAAAAGTACTGTTAATCTATATTTGAAAAAGACGATTGACATGTTGTGATGCTAAAAAACAAAAACTAGAAAACTGTGTATACGAATTCGATTATCCAACAAAAACAGAACTAGTTGAAAAATTAAAAAGAAAAATACGTTATGAATTATTTGATTTAATTACAAAAATAGACTTGTTATTAACTGTTCATTCTTAATTATTTTGTAATTTGTTTTATTATATTAATTTGTAACTTTTTCTAGATAAATAATAAGATCAAATTAGGGATCCATCAGATCAAAAAAAGCAAAACATAGAAGAAGAAAATGAAGTTAAAATAGAGCCAAAATTGCTCGAAGAAATTCAAACTTTACAACAATTGGCTGATATTGACGATGTTGATGAATTGATGATTCTTAACTCATCGTTAGATTATAATGAAATAATAAAAAATATTAAAAAGAAGTTTATAATCTTATTATTTAGCAAATGTTATAATATTAACCAAAAACGTATTTTTGATTTGCATCATAAATGCTTATTTGATTTGTATTAACAATTTAGTTTTGCTACTGCAAGGTTGTGACTTGAAATGAAAGACTTACAAAAGATTTGTTATTCCGGCAACATATGTAATTTTAAAAAAGGAAGATTACTTTTGGTTTTTAAAGAGAACAAAAACTATATAAAGTTGAAATTAAGAAACTAATAACCGTATAATAGATACCTTGCAATTTCTATATTAAATAATATGTTAAATAGATATGGCAAACTTGTTACATATTTGAATGATGATTATTTAAATGATATAAAATATTAAAACGATTATGATATGAATATTTCATTTTGATTTTTATTGTAAATTTTTTTTAAAAGGAATTAACAGATAAAAAAGTAAATGAATTAATGGAAAAATTTTTATCGCTTAATGAATGGTATCCGTTTACATTGGAAGAATTGATTACTCAAGGTAAAAAATTTCAACCTTTTGTATGTGAAGAATGTTTAGAAAAAGACGATTATTTAATTGATGATGGTGAGAAAGAAGCGTGGGATTGTTTTTTTTGATACGAATTTACGAGAACAGAAGAAATGCCTTATAATCATCAATTTGTTGTTATGTTGACAAAAAGATTTAGAAAACATTTTAATCTAACATTAAATCATTTTTTACCACAAAATTTCAAAATATTTTACCATTTTTTTAAAGATTATATATGGGTAGATTCTTTTGTTTTACAAGTTAACCAATTGAACAATAAAAATAAAAATGATAAAGATGATGATGAAATAAAATGTTATTATTGTAATAATCTTTATTAATTTGTAATTTTGATATTAAATGGTAATTTTTTTTCAGTTATAATGAATTGTAAAGAAATACACGAAGAACATCAACGTCTTATAGGTCTTATAAGAAATGTTGAAATGTTGGAACTTAACGAATATGTTGGTGAATTAGTTTTAAACAAATTAGATAAAAAATCAATCTCTTTTTTAAAAAAGATTGTTTTAGAGATTTATTCAAATAAATATTTAATATTTAAAAATCAAAACAAAATAATATCTCAAATATCTTATCAATAATTTAAAAGATGTGTTTTGGAAGGCTCAAACTTTACCTATAAATAATCGTAATACGATAGTGCATACGTATTTGGCTTCGATTCAAAGTATGATTGCAGTTTGCGAAAAAGGAAGAAAAATAACAGCAGATATCATTAAAAGATATGAAGAAAATGAATATTACCTTTATAGCATTGAAAGACATGAAAAATTTTTAAAATTTAAAAATAAATAAAAAATGATTTGATGGATTGTTTAAATATGTATATTTGTTGTCCTTGTTGCGATTATAATAAATGTTATTGTTAATTAAATTTGTGATTTATAAAATTGTTAAAAAATTTTTTTTTTAGATGTTAACAGAAACTAAACTAAATGATATTTTGGAATTGTTAGAAATGGATGCCATTTCTATTATGCCACACAGAGAAATTGTTTCTATAAAGTTTATGACAGATGAAATATATAAAAAATGGATTGGGAATTTAAGGACAAATATAATTGGGGCACATTAGTATCAACAAATAAAAGACAAGTTACAATAAGACTATGTGATATTATTCTTAATTCTATTTTGTCAAAATTCAACTATTCGAGAGTGGAATTTGAAAAGTGTGATTTTTTTGAATTTTGCCGTTTTTGAAAAAATTATCAATTATCATATTATCAAGACAAAGAAAAATTTATTTGTCAATTAAATGAAAAAATTGAAATCAACATGAAATGGTATCAAGATAAACGAATGTTGACAAAATTAAAACTCAATGACATTATGAAAACTTTTAGAGATCGAAATTTGATTGAATTTACATTACCTGGTTCGCTCACTGTGATGAATTTTACTTTATCAGATCTGTTCGAAAAAATCAAATTTAGCAAATAAAGAAACATGCGGAAAATGCAAAATTTTTAAAAAATTTTGTTCAACTTGAAAAACTTAATGTTCCAGAATCAGTCTGGATTAATTGGACTGATATTTTTATCAAATTGCTGATAATTACATTATTTCATTTTTGTTAGAAGTATTGTTAGTAAATTTTCCAGTTTTAAAAGACAAATCTTTTTATACGTTTTATTTGTTTTTAGAAAAATGTGATAAGAATTTAATTATTGATCAAGTTAATTTAAAAGGGTTTGATTATGTAAAAAAAACTTTTCAATTAAAAATATATAAAAAAAGATTATAATTTTTGTTCTTGCATGGTTTGTAATTTTAATGGTATAGCTTGTTTTAATTTTTAGATGGAATTAACAGAAACAAAAATAAATTGCTAGACGGACACTTAAAAAAATTTACGAAAAAGAAAATTTAACATCGGCAAAATTACAAGAGTGTGCTTTAAGATTTACCGCAGATTGTAGTTTAGGAAACATTTTTGAAATGGAAAATATTTTTGAAGAAACAAAAAGCTTTATTAAACATCATCATGTTGTTTTGTTAATGATTTTACAATATATAAAACGAAATTTTCATGTTTATTTAAATGTAGACTTCAACATGTTTTATCAATTTTATCAAAATCTGAACGAATAAACAAAAAGAAATGGATTGAAGAAATACAAATGTATATTATTCTATGTATAAATTTTTGTTAATATTATCACAATGATGAGAATGATGAAGAACTTTTTGATTGCTATTAATATTTTTTTTTGTATTATTTTAGATAAAAAATATAAATATGAATATACGAAGAAAATATGTACAAGAAAAATCTTAAAAAAATATTAATTGAAAAAAATTGTGAAGAAGTTACAAATATATTAACGCATGCATTGAATGAAATGAGTAAAGAAATAGATTTGTTAATAAAAATAGAAAACGACAGAAAAAATCAGCAAAAAATACGAAAAATAATAACATTTGAACTTTCGAATAACGATATGATATCAATCATGATGTGGTTTTATAAATTTGTTATATTATATATGTAATCTTAAAATATTTTTCTGAAAAAAATATTTTTCTGAAAAATATTTTTCAGAAAAAAATAAAAAATGACTCTATCAGCTAAACAAAAATTCGCTTTTCAATGGTTTGATGAAGGAATAAATTTTTTTATTACTGGTAGTGCTGTACTCAAACTAGCTTTTTTTATTACTGGTAGTGCTAGTACTCAAACTAGCTTCTTCTCTTTCCAATTGCATTTCCTTTCCAATTAACATTAAAGCTATGCATAGGTAGTTGTACTTATTTAGATAAATCTAAACCGGGTAACCCATTATTTATTCTCTTAAGGTGGTCAATACCAAAAATAAAATTAAAAAAAAACGATTTTTCGAAAATTGCATATTCTTGAAGCCTAAACATTCTACATCTCAAATATTTTTAGATCATCATAGGAAGTGAATTTAAAAATGCTCTAAAATAGCAAGTTTAACAGTGGA